ATTAAGATCGTATCTCTCCAAACTAACTCCCCTGGTTGTTTTTGCTTTCTTTTTTGGCAATGCATGGTATCAAAGTAAGGGCACAGTGAGGCTGGAACTGAAGGAAGTGCCTTTTGTTCTTTTTCACTTCCCCTTCCTCAAACGGCTTCTCTTAACAACTCTCTCATTGCTGCCTCCAAATAGGCTTCTTATTTAGTTGTCTCAGACAAGAGTTAGATGCCTTGCTTCCTAGTGACCATGGTTAGATGTCTGATCAGGTGAAACACTAAGCTGACCACAGGTGTGCACACTGATCAAGGCATATGTGATACATCTGACTAAATAAATCAGACATGCTTTGCATGAACTGTGATTACAACTCATTCTGAAAATCTTACCTGCACCAAATATTTGATAAATGAAAAACAAAATCATTCAACTCCTTGCAGCACAGGTGCCATTTCTTTACCATTTTGTTATCCACGGCTAAGGATGGTGTAGCAAAACAACAATCTCGTAGTATAATGACCCACTTACACTGAAAAGACTGCCATCGCTTCCATTAACAGCATAAGCAGCTGCTCTTTTCCTGAATGGAAGTGCAATAGCAATGTATTTAAGGGCACTCTCAAGTGCCAGAACATGTGACAGCGGGCCTATTTATACTCCATTGTGCACTGCCATCAATTACAAGAGGCTTGCCTGGTATGTAAATGACAGCAAAATTTAATTCATAGAGAAGAGCTGCTGCTGAAACTATCTAACAGCTTTTTCAACACCCCAGCACATACTTTTGGACGTGAAAGTCATTCTTAGTTGGAGAAAGGATACTTGTAACATAGTTGAAAAAATTCTCATACTGGAAGTTTCCTTGTTGGCAGATTTTGTTGATGGCTTTCAGGAACAAGTTTTCACCTCTCGGCCATTCATGCTGAAGCAAAACAACGACATGGCCCAATGCCATATCATCTCTGCTGTCTGTGAAAGCTCTAAGCTTCAGGGAAAAGATTGACATTGAGAAGATCAGGACAGATACATTGCTTTCACCAATATATGAGATTAATCTCACCTACATCCATGCAGATATAAAACAAGTTCTTTAAGAGTGTATTTCCTTTTGCCCTAACACTTAAAATAGGTTGGAAATTGCCATCCAAAATACCAAATTCTCTCCACTAAGTATAAGGGAAGTCTGGATATAGATAAAAATATTTTGAGATGAATCCTATCTCCTCTGCCCAAAACTAATATAAGTAGAAGATAATATGATAATTTGGTAAAAAGAGAGAGGAAACTCTCCTTCATCAGTCCTCCCCCCCCACACACACCCATTATGGTGTGGAGCACTTGAGGCACAGCACTTCACACCCAGTCACACCACTGGGATAAGGCCATGCAGTTTCAGAACCCCAGCTACATAACTTAGGCCTTAGACACATGAGAGAATGTGGAGCCTTGCCTATAGCTTACCTTGAAACAAGCCAGTAACAGATGAAGGCAATAGGGCATGATAGCTCTACTGGTACACGGCCAAAGCTTCAAATCAGACCCTGCGACAGAGAAGTTGTAAGAGACACTTCTTTAAGGAGTCTCAAATCTAAGTTTTCAAGAAATTAGAATGGGGAAATACAAATCTACAACTGCCTAATATCAGGTACAGAGGAAAACTTTGAAGGTACGTCGCAAATGATTCAAAATGTAAAGTTAAAGATTTAAAAAGTTTTTCTTCTCTTCTCTTTGTCTGTGGTAGGACTTTGTCACTAATACACTTTAATGGATACCAGTATGAAAACCTTTCACAAAATGCAAGAGAGGGTAAAGAACACCCTCCCTTTTCACAATACAAAAAGAGAGGAATTATATACTCAACAGAAATGCACGAACCACAAGTGAGCTGACACTGAGTTTAGGATAGTAGCAACTCCATACCTTTCCTGAATTTAGACTTGACTTTAGGTTGCTCCTCTTGTACTTTACCTCCTTCTTGTATTGGAAGTAAAATATAGCACATGAGGTCAAGCACTTTTTCGCATGTTTGCTACAGAAGAAGAACACACAGAGACAATAATGCTGCATCTATGTTTAAAGTTCTTAAAATTCAAATATATTAATGTTGATTAAAACTTTCAGAGACTGCAAAACAAAAATATGGTCACAAAATTCTCTGCTGGAACTTAAATGAACTTACTAATGTTTAGCATAGTTTGACTGGGCAAAAAGAAATAGCTGTGATATGAATTTCATTAAACTATCTCTGGGAGCCTAGATAAGCCATTTTAATTGTTAAAAAATATGTATTTGCATTCTTCATTTGAATGTTGTAAGATCAATATACCTGCAATTGAATTTTATTTTGAAGGATTATATTTTTGAATTAGTCCTTATAAAAGTTTGTAAAAGCTTGTTCAGCCCATGTTAAAAATAGAAAAGGAAAATGGAAATTCGGTGGCATGACGGAATTGCTATAAATTTTAATGCTAGCTCCCAGAGACTGTAAGAGGTCTGAGCGGATATATAATCAGATTTCTAATGAAAAAGTAGCAAGCAGGAGAAGAAGAAGAAAAGAAGACTGGTCCACTATTATGAGCGTGACATTAGATCCTATGAGACCCAGCCTTTATTATTAGCTGTGACACTTGACTGACCTCAGACCACTCTGCATTTCTGTAATAGTAAAAACAAAATATTTATTGCAAAGGTAAAGCAAGTTCAGAGGTCAGGCCAGACAATACTGTTCTCGAGTCTCGTATACCGTCAGTTGGTAACTACTTTTTTTTTTTAAAAAAAGACGATAACAGAAATTTGTATTCTTCAACCCCTTTCTTGCCTCTCCTACATGAGACCTACACACAAGAATTTTCCCCTCATTTTTAAAACTGTAACAGTAAAGTTAAGCAATTCAAACCAACGTTACATTTACAGACAACTTAAAGACCTGTAGCTATGGAAAACCGTAACTAAACCCCCCAAATCATAACTAGCAAGTAGACTGTATACCAGAGATGCTAATGGGAAGTCAGCTAGATGTGGCAAGATGTGTAGTTCTTCTCCCTTGAAGCAGGGATTTTTCTGTAGAGCCTGGCTTAGATCCACCCGATATCCTTTGGGAAGCAGGCTAATAGGAAAATTCAAAGGAAGGCACAAAGCGGAACCACAGGGCCAGTCGATGAAGGACCGGTGTGTGGAATGCTGTACGTACCCTATATTCTCCAAGGGCAAAGTGGCAAGTTGCTAACTGGATCAGCGCTCTCTGATTTTCTAGCGAGCCTTGTCCTGTAATTTGCTGCGGCGAATGAGAGCCCTGAAGAGCTGCCAAGTGATGTAGGCTGCTAATCGCTTTTTTGTATTGTCCCTTTAAAAAGAAGACATAAAAAGACTGTGTTAGGGTCCTAACACCTATACAACACCTATACACCTTTCAACCTATATAGTAGCTTGAAAGATAAAAATGAAAATTCTCTTACAGAAAGCTTTCAAAACAGAGGGTGTCTAAATAAAAGGACTTCAAAAATTTAACCTAACAGAAAACGCTGCAGTGATGTGTTGCGTGCAGCAGCGTGGATCAATCACTTGCAAGGCAGTGAGAAGCCAAAAACATGAACAGAATTCTGCTTTAAAAAGCCTGTTTATAAAATCCCATTTATAACTGAAACAAATAGTCAGGGGCTTCAGAGGTAATCGCTACTTTATTTTAGCTGAACGATGTTTGAAATAGCTCTTGTTAAGGTAAAGGTTCAGGCAAAAAAAAAAAGAAAGAAAGAAAGAAAAAAAAAAGACCCCCAAAAGAAACACAGACGAGAACAACCTTTGTTCTATGGATGGTATTTGGAATGAGCACAGTCAGCCTAATTTCTAATGAGAATGATAATTTTTTAGTTTAACTGAGACATCTTAAAACCTTCTGCTGCTTGAAAATTCTTCTCTCTGACTGTGTTCCAGTAGATGCATTGACAGATGAATAAACTATGCTTCTGTTCCCTGTGACTGAATATATCTACTGGTTAAAATGCCATACACCAAAACTAGCTGGACTAAGCAAACAGCTATTAGAAGAGGAGTATTACAAGCAGGGTACCTAGCTTGTGATAAGAATGGTATGACTCCATCCCAAAAAGTGTCACGCTTTAAAGGATAAACATCAGTAGACACCTACAGCAGTCAAACTGGCTAATCATGGCAGCTATTCACTGGAAGGAAGAGCAATGCAATGGCACCATTTTTACTGTTTTTTCTTCTATTTTTTACCTGGTAGATGATCATATCTGTAAGAAAGATTCTTAACCAAAGCCAAGTGTCCGTCTTCCATGACAAACAAATTCTGGTGAACTCTGTATAAGGTGTCAGAGAGTGGAGAAGGGGAGAAGAGAAAATGAAGCATTTCACAGCTCTGGGTTAGGAAAAAAGTATCTATAAAAATACAGCTGAATTTTAAAAAATGACACAAAAGAGTAAAAGTGTGAAATCTTTTAAAATATAGGATACTCTCTTCCTATACAATCACATTTTTATTACACTTCTCTTCACAGCGTCCAACAAATCTAAAAGCACCTAAGTGGTACTGTTTTGTACTACTTTTTAAAAGAAAGGCTTAGTTTCAAGGTTATCACACCTGATACTATCAGAAAGGGAGAGACACAGTAAATATCCTCTTAAGCATGAACTCTGTTAGCCACCTACTATTATCAGCGCCACTACTAATCAACTGCTCCTTCAGAAAAAGCTGCTTCCAAGGAAAGTGTGGGTGAACAAGCAAAAATGTAGGAAGAGTGGAACAAAATCTAGAAGGAAAATATTCAGAAATATAACAAGATAACACTTCCTTTTGGAACTCAGATGAATACTACTCAGGACTCAATTAATTTTAAGGATTCCCAATGACCAGAATTCGATTTTAACAATACTAAAATGATTCTTAACTACAACAACGAAGTGAAAATGCAAGTCTTCCTGCAGTTATCCTTACCTTTATCGAGTGATTCCAGGGAATAGAGCAGCTCCCAGCTCTCTCTTGCCAGTTTAAAGCTCTCCAATACTTCAATAGAGTTTGCAAGATCTGCCTTATTTACTGCAATATGGCGACTTCGCCCCTTCCCAGAAGGATCCTCATCGTCTGAGCTCTGCTTAAGTGTCAATATAAAACAAAAAGGTTCACTTCTTAATTTCTACTTATTTCAAAGGACTTATTTCTCAAGTCACAAAAGTTCCACTTAACACATCAAAACTAGAGAATCAAAGATCCTAGTGCAAGTGCCTTTAAGTGACTTTTCCATATTTCACTTAGCTTGTTTTAATATTAGAACAATCTGTTTTTCTATTAATAAATTCAGTGGTATAGTATGATAAGCAGTATCACAAAAGAGGTCATTCAATAATACAGTGGTCATAACCAGCAATTCCGGGGTACATCTAAAAATATGTCTATTCCATCGTGCCAAAACTACTGTTGTCTAAATTCCAGTACCAATGCCATTCTTGTTACGAAGGAAATAGTCTCGAGAAGTTACCATTGTTTTCTCTCTTCCTTCTGCAAGTTTCCTCTTTTTGTGTATGTGTTTGTTACGATCAATATCTGTATCACCATAGATGTTGGTCACATCCTCAAGAAGAATCAGTGGGGCTTGGTTTGGAGCATTTGGACCTGGATTTAAAAGAGAAATAAATACAAGATTGCTCTAAGCTGATGAATGCTAGAGAATACAATTTCAAATTAAATTTCTTTTCTTATGAAGTAGTCGCAAGATATGTTAAGGCAGCATGTTTTCTCTCATCAAATATCATTTACTTTCAAATAAATACAATTATTCAATAGGTAAGCTGAACAAATGGCTCTGGAGTTAACAGCCATAAACACAGCAAAGCACAGCAATATTCCCAGGACATTCTTATGAGAAATCAAGGCAATATACTGACAGGTACTGGTGCATCAAAGAAGTCAGTTTATTTTATCATAAGATTTCTCTGGTAGGATCATTCAGCGTCAGCTTTGCTCCCAGTGATTTCAGTTGTACAGCATGAAGCCTTTAATTGACTGCCGGAAGCCATCATCACTCCCCAGGCCTGCAAAGAAGCCTCATTTTAAAGCACAGAGGACATCATTTCTACTTCTGCTGGTGTCACAGAACATCCTGTGACATCTGGTACGACTTATTTCAGATCTCAGTGCCTAAGTTTCATTAGCTATAAAATGGGACAACACTCCTTAATCGCAAATAAAATCAGTATGTGGTCAATTTTAAGGTCTTCCCTCCCAAAAGATTTACTCCTTCAACACACAAGCAAATGTCATAGATGTGCAGAGTCCAGACAAAGAGAAATATGAAGGAAAGGGGAAATCCATTAACTTATTTTCCCATTTTAAAACCTCCACCAGACAAGACAGTAGCGCAGACAAGTATTTTCACGGGCACTTATTCTGTTTGTGTTGGCAGAAGGATACAAGACTAAGGCCTCGTTCATAACCGCAAAGAACTTAATTTGGTATCTTAGTATAAGAAGAATCCATTTTGTCTCTTGACATAAGAGAGCATGTATTAAGCTTTTCCCATCTACTCAAAAGGGTTGTGTAAGGAGGTCACTACAACAGAACTCCGTGCTACAAGAAACAGCTAACATGGCGCGCCTAGTAAGTAATGGTGTTATCTCCATTGACGATGTTCAGACTAGATACCACCGTTTAAATGTCCTCTACACAAAGGCTACAAACCACTGTAAATCACCTCTCCTGTACTATCATGTATTCCAGTGTTCCACCACAACCCGTCTGAACTTAAAACAGAACCAAGCCATAACGCAGAAGATAGCATCCATGAGAAAACAGCTACAAAAGTGCCACAGCTGGGAGACTGGAAGAGCTCTGTCACTAAAATCTAAAGAGCTGGCTACTCACAACACCAGAGTAGGAAGGACTGGGTTTTTCTTTTACTCATACTGCTTTAAATGAATGCCAGTTAAGCAAGTGCTTTGCTTTCTAGAAATATGCTTTTCTTAGCAGCAGGCAAGCATACTGTATCCTTTACTCAAAAACCTCCTGTCCTGAAAACAAAACCAAACCAAACCAAACCTCCCCCTTTACTTGCGCTGCAGACCCTTTCTTACAGTAATGAAAGTTCTACACAGCCATACAAAAAGAGCAATGTTGTGTTTTTCTGCCTAACTGCGCTCTAGACTCTAAGCTTACAGTGCTTTTACCTGATTTCTAGTACGTAGCACTATAAATAAACCCCTAAAGCATCAAACCAAATAGCGACTCCTGCCAATCCTGCAGGCAGCCTGAAAGTTTTAAGAGAAGTATGAATTGCCTCATTCATTTCTTAGGTCTCCAACAAGGCAAATATGAATTACGTAAGAGAAATGCATTGAAAAGTTTTCTCTCAAGAGCTTCCTTGCAAGTCTGTGCCTGTGACAGGAAACCCATAGATTAGTGCTCAGGGCTACCGGATTGAGGAGGAGATACTTTTTTTTTTTCTCCTCGTTTTATTTCCGGCTCCAAATATGTAGGCTCTCCCCCTTATTTCTACAGATAGCTCTCCAAAGAGGAGGAGGAAAAACCCTAAAGACAGAAATGGCATGAAAGGCACTGAATACCACTGAGCTTTAACATTAAAGTAGAAATGAATAAAATATATCTTGAAAATACAGAGGGCCTAACTTTCCTTGTGGCACTAAAAGTTTTGTGAACTTCTATTATGACACCTCTTCGTTCCCAGTCTTAAGCAAGCAGCCCTGAAAAAAGACACCTGTGAAGACTTTGTCAGACCCATTGTCAGGGCACTGAAGGCACCAACGCGCCTTGATGGCCCTGACCAGCCTCACCTGGGGCCTCCACACACCCCTTCCACCCATAGGCCCAGCAGCTCCATTTAAGCCCAAGCCTGGGCCCTTATTCCCCTTTCGAGGTGTGCTGTAGGTGTGCTAGTCTCCAGCCTTGCCTCTGCCTCCTGGATAGACCCATTGGACATACACTGTAGCTTGCTTCCAGTCCTGGCTCTGTCTCCTGCTGCTGACTGGGTTGGACCCTGAACCTGGTTCACAACTTCACCATGGGTGAGACTGTCGACAGACCCTGTTGCCAGTACCTTGCTCTGCCGGCCATGTTTGGTTCCTATGTGACTGTGTCCTGGTCAGTGATAGCACTGCCTGGGCTGGGGTCGCTCTTGCTTTCTAGTTCCTGTTCTCTTAGGCCTTGCTGACACCTCTGCTCTTAAACTCTTATATCTGATAGCTCTTACCTCCTTTCAGAGGAGGCACTCTAACCAGAGAGTAACTGTGAATGAAGAGGGATGGGGTCCTTGACCACTGATCTGCACTATCTCCCTCCCTAAAACTGATTAAAACAACATGTTTTTGTAGAAATAAAACTGTATGTATATATATACACACACACACACACAAATATATATGTAAAATAAATAATTACACAGCAAAACTGGGGGCTGGCCTACTGAAAAGCAGCTCTGCGGAGAAGGACCTGGAGTCCTGCTGGACAACAAGTTAAGCATGAGGCAGTAAGGTGCCCTTGTGGCCAAGAAGGCCAATGGTCTCCTGGGGTGCATTAGGCAGAGTGTTGCCAGCAGGTGGAGGGAGGTGATCCTGTCCCTCTACTCAGCCCTGGTGAGGCCTCACCTGGAGTGCTGTGTCCAGTTTTGGGCTCCCCAGGGCAAGAGAGACATGGAGCTCCTGGAGAGAGTGCAGCGGAGGGCTACGAAGAGGATGAGGGGACTGGAGCATCTCTCCTCTGAAGAAAGGCTGAGAGAGCTGGGCCTGTTCAGCCTGGAGAAGAGAAGGCTCATAAACGTGTACAAGTATCTGAAGGGAGGGTGTCAAGAGGATGGGGCCAGACTCTTCTCCGTGGTGCCCAGCAACAGGACAAGAGGCAACAGGCACAAACTGCAACACAGGAAGGTCTGTCTGAATCTGAGGAAAAACTTCTTTCCTGTGAGGGTGACAGAGCACTGGAACAGGCTGCCCGGAGAGGTTGTGGAGTCTCCTTCTCTAGAGATAATCAGAAGCTGTCTGGACACAGTCCTGGGCAATGTGCTCTAGAGGACCCTGCTTGAGCAGGGAGGTTGGACTAGATAATCTCCAGAGGTCCCTTCCAACCTCAACTGTTCTGTGAAAAACATACTGAGAGCTCTCTCACTTTAGTTCTACTTCTTTTAATGGACTTGGAGATTTCAGCTTGTTTTAAAGGTAGCAGCATGTCATCAGCCAGCTGGCTTCAGATCTCTTGCATGTTTTTCAGTGTCTCAGTCTGAAAACATGAACTGTGAACATTGCTTAGGAAGACTTTACTGGTGCTTTACTCTTTTTCTTCTTAAATTCAGAATCAAGCAGAACCTATAGCTAAAAGTAATGCACAGCTAAAGCACCTCATTGCCATGCCATAACACTTATTCTGGGTCAAAAGCAATAAAATGTCAACTCAGTCAGTTCCTGTATCTGTTAATTTCAAGTGGCTAACATTCTCTGAATACAGGTTGCCATGTTATTTGCCTCCTTAGCTTAGCTATCTATAGATATTGTTGAACTGACTACCTGACTAACTTTGTGTAAAGTCACTTAAAAGCACTGTAATTTGCTTTTTGAGTATTTAATTACTCAAATGATAATTCACTTTAAGCAATCATAACAGAACTTATGAGTATAGCACAATTAAAACTAATTTTATCATGAATCAATAACTGTTGCATTAGTGAGTACTAACTACTTGTATTAACAATGGCTAATGTTGCAAGCAATTCCCTAGCAGTGAGTGAAGGAGTAGAAAATTTTTACTGCTAATGGCTGTCCCTTCCTTTTTTATGATACTGTTTATTCCAATAAGTCCTAAACAAATCAGAAGTCAAAGCACTTCCCCAACTTCTGAGCCATCCCTTAAAATGCCAGTCTACACAGAAGCAATGCAGAGTCTTCCAAGCTATCTGGTATGCCCCACACACAGATTTGGGTGAGTCGATAAAATGGAGGTATTAAATGCTCAAGTTAAAAATCATTTTAGGACATATTTAAAAGTGAGCCTTAAAACGCTTAAACTACACAAGGAAAGCCAATTTTGTTCAGGAAATATAACTGAATAAAAACTGAATTGGAAAATATTTGCTGTGTGTTCCTGATGCAACTCCACTTATTTTGTGAGAGCTCTACAATCACTCTTTTGATGGAAGCCTGGAAAACGTCAGCTGCAGGAGAGCAAAATCAGAGGAATAACGGGCACAAACACAACGGTGACTGAAAATGGTGGGAATGCACCTCAGTGACGTTTCATACACCTGCCTTAATACTTTCCTCTTCCCTAGGCAACTGCTGCTGGCAGAGGTTGAAGGCATGATGCTGAGTTAGATGGATCTTTGGTCTAATACACTATGGCTGTTCTCATACACTACTTCTGCTGATAAAGACTAATGCCTTGGGAGGATTTTAGGGAGGCCTCATTACCTTCAAAGATAAGCTTCAAGACTAATGAGAAAAAGAGCTTTCAGATGTTAATGAAATCATAAAGAAGTGTTTACAAAAGTTGAAGTGTTAAAAACTAACCTTGAAAGAGAGATGGCTGGATGTTGCTGACATACTGGAATGCATTTTTAAAGAAGACCAACATCGTGGAATACACTACTTGATTCTTGTATTTAGCATGTGCATCGCTATCAAAGTTACTGATGTACCTGCAGAGGTCTTTCATTCTATGCAAAATATCACCAAAACTTCTGAGGAAGAGAGAAGGAATACAAATTGATTACAAGTCCATTACCTGGACTCTAAAACTGAAGAAAAGGATGCATAATGGATATGAAAAACCTGATGTTTTGGCTTGGGAAATCCTTCAGCTGTAAGTCAGTGATGGCTGCTAATGCACATCACTAAAATTTCACTATGTATTTGCCTTGTTTTTTCTCTTTGCAGACACACCTAGGAAAGGCTGAATAGAGGACGGTGGGTTTACATCTCCTACATTACAGTACAGTAGTTCTTAAGCACTACTTTTGTTAAGAAAGATTTAGTTTCTAGAAAATAATCTAAAAGGGCTCCCTGGATCCACACTGTAGCTCTACATTATGTGGTTTGGAAAGAAAAGCTGGACTGAAGTTATACAGAAAGATATTAACATGAAGACATCCTTCAGCGCAATTTATCGAATAATTAAGCCAAATCATCCTTGAAAAGCAGCACCTGGAAAAGTACACATTTCTCACCTTCTTCCTTTATCCATTTGCCATTCACACCTCATTCCCACCACAGACAATATTTTAAATAGCCTCTCCCAAGGATCTGTAATCTGGGATGATTTCTCTGTGAGACCATCTATTACATATTTCTGAGAGCTACGTTTGCTTGGAGACAAAATATCAGCAGAATCTTGTGAACCTAGGAAAACAAGCATATTTCTCTCTTCATACAGAAATGAAACCAACAGATTTATTTTCAAGAAGGAAAAGCGTAAAAAGGCACGCTTAAGTTTTCAGGGTAACCATCTTTTACTGAGAAGGCTGACAAAGAGCATTAGGTATTTCAGCCTCCTCTTACAAGAGTTGGTAAGGCTGGATAAGGAGATTCGGACGTTTTGTCCTAATTTTCAGTTCATGCATTATGAGATCTGACTGAGCTATTTTGATATCAAAGCTATAAGAAATATCAAATGCTACTATTAATCCTGCTCTTCAGGAGACAGTGAAGCATTCTTCCTTTATACTACTCCCTTCAATAATTGTGAAATATATTTTAGGAAAGGCTAATCTTATAAAAAAAGTTCTTACCTTGATACTGGCTTTCAGTCTGTGTAGATCGAGTTACATAGTTGATATAAAATTCTGCTGCTTTATTCAGATATTTATATAGCAAGCTGGCAGGAAGCCGAACATCAGGGTTGTTGATTATTAGAGGAAGAACATCACATACTGAAATATATATTAAAAAGAAAGCTTTAGGTTTGGTTGTTTTGTTTTTAAATCCTATTAGTTCTAAGCAAGATTCTTCAATCAGCAATGTGAGCCTCTATCTCTGGCTGACTATATACCACAAAGGATCACAAAACACCTCTCGTGGCATTAAACTGGCATTAGACTCATTCATAGGGTCAGTCTGGACTAACGTGACCTGAACCTGTTCTGAATAAAGCTGTTTCCTAATCACAATATCCTGAAAACAGTTTATTAAACTCAGGATCTATGTTATTGCTGAAGTATAACTGCAGGTTAAATGGTTTAAAAACTGATTAGAAAGTTTCCTTAGTGTTGGACAGCACTGTCGTCTGATTTTTGCCATCATAACAGTAAGCAACTGTTGGTATGTACAATATTACCAGTTTAGCAGATGGAGGTACCGAAAAACTGTAATTTAGTGTAATTGGCAAGACAGAAATCACATGAAAGACTTGGCTTCAGAGCTATAGCAAAAACTGTTGGCTAACTTCAACAAACAGTCTTAATAGAATACTAAGTTTATAAAATTATATAATAAAATAAGCACATTAACCTTTTCTTACCAAATAGTTTTCTAAAACAATTCACTGGGGATTCTTGGTCTTCAATACTTTCAGCTTCTAATAAGGTTTCTCCAAGGCCTACCTGTATAAGCAGAGGTTAAAACACACACACACACACACACACACACACACACACACACACAAACTTTGAATTTTAGAAACTTTTAAAAATACCTGATTCAATGATGCTGAGCAATCATTCAGTGGATACATCAGTAGCATAACTAAAAAGCAACTGCCTAGCATGTTAATCTCCATTTAGTTAAACTATCCCCACTTAGTAACTGGTGAAAGCAATCCCAGGAGATAGCAAAACCAAGACCAACAGAAAAAGTGTGTATGTGACTATGCATGGGTAGAGGTATGCACAGATTAGTGGAAGAGATGGAATTAGGAGTGCTTTAAAAGCTACTGCTTGTCAGCTGAGCTGTGGTAACAGACTACGTCCTCATTGACTGATGCAGATATGAGATGACGGATTTAAGTTACCATGTTCTAGAGCTAACATATTTTACTTCCTATCCACAGTAGTTGAAAAACTGTAGGTCATCATCTCCAGTGCTCTAGCAGTAATTCAGTAAGTCAGAGGAAACACACAGCTTGTCGCAGTCTGGTCATGACCTCAAGGTGCTCTCCCCAAAATGAAAGGTTACTGAGAAAAGCTGAAGCAATACTATTTGTTAGGCTAAAGCGTTCCTCTACGCTATTGTGCTCTTCTGCCTCCTTTTTTTTTTTTTTTTTTTAAAAAAACATGGAATCTTCCTTGCTTTTACAAAGTAAAGTAATTCTTTGCTGCTGGTAGCCTGAAGGTATAACCATTTGAACTACCGGCCTCAACTAAACACGAATAAAAACCCCACCCCACTCACTAGGCAAAGCAAAAGATGTTTCCGCAGTATCTCAAGAAACAGAAGGACAGTGCTGTGAATAGTTAAAATGGGTTACTTTTCTCTTACCCCGTGTTGTACCACAGTCTCTGGGAAGCGCCGCAGAAGGAGCAGGAGCATTTCTGCCCTTTCCAGTGTGTTAAAACACTGCTCTGTGGCCTTTAGTAACATTTCACATTGGACTCTACCAGGAAGGGTCTCAAATAATCCTTTAAAAAAAAAAATCGTTTAACTTGCTATGTTTGAATTGTAAAGATAATAGGCAAAAGGATAAAAGACTAGTCAATATCACCTTGCCAATCAGTGCAAGATTTCCTTGCGTCTTTTTCCACTGAATATCAGACCCTCAGGGAAAAAAGTGTGATTCTCTCAGTAAAATCGAAATGAACACTTATCTGTTTATCTGGGTGCACATAACTTGATTTTAAAAGTAAGTTGAGTAAGTAAGTGGAATACTCCATCATAATACTTAAATATTTAACATCTTAAGATGCTTACAGTGGCTTCTTCAAGAAACCTCATTTATATTTTTTACTTACATCCCCCACTTTGACAATTAACACTTTGTTTATAAAAAGATACCTTCCTCACTTTAAATTTCCAGTGAGACATTGAAAAGAAACCAAAATATTGCCACTAAAAGTTGTATGTATTCTCCCTGAAAAATAAACATACCCAATGAAAATGCAGGAGTGTTTCTTCAACTAGAATAGCTTGTACATGAAGTTACACACTGCTTCTCCTTACAGCTCTTCAAGTACATCTTCAAACAGTAGATCGTAATTTGTCAGGTGTAAATCCTGCTTTCAAAACTGCCTGTGGTTGCCAGCAAGCTGTTCTGATTGCTGTCCGTTGTCATGACCTTCATTTTACATGTCCAAACTTGCCACACTTCTAAGATTATTCACTGTTCTCTGAAATCATTTGGACCATAATGCATAAGCCCCCTTCCACTTACTCCCTCTGCAATCTGTTTTCTAACTTAGCAGAGCACGCTCCTTTAGTTCTGGCAGACTTAGATGACCTGTACTTCAGACAAAGGGGATCTCTCTCTCTGGGCTTTTGAAGCCTCATGCACCGGATAAAGTTCATAAGGCTAAAGTGATCAAAAGGATATGCAGCCAAGAAGCTACGCACAACACAAAAGACACTTGCCGCGCTAGATATGTAACCAGAGGACTTAACCTTTAGATTCCTTCAGGGCTCTCCCTGTTCACCGAGTAGCATTCTTACCTCTTAAAAACTGTGTCTGCTTGTCCTGGGAGTCGTTCCTTAACGCTGATGTAATAACACTGATCTCTCGCCACACTGCGGGTTGGTCTGGAAAATTCACAAACCTGGAATACAATTTGGGGCAAGAAATGCACAGTGACCTTAAAATCCACTTCCAAGCCGAAACCTTCCTACAAAAGAAATTGCTTGGACAAATGGAAAATGACATTTTGCTTGTTTCTGTATCTTTCCTAATTAACAAGACCTTTTCTGCTCAACTTATCCATGCAGATTGCCAAGAACGCTCGCGTTATATTTTTGGAAACTCTCATATCTATGACTTGGGACACAAGCATGGAAACAAATGCTGGAAAATTTCTAGAGCTTCAGCTGTGATTCAAGGCAGTTATTTCGGGCCAGCTGAGTTACTTACATGTCATAGAGCAGTCTACCCGCGGAGGCTGTCCGTTCGGCGTTCCTCTCAATAGTGTACATCTCATACTGCGACACGGGAGAACAGCACACGTTAGCGCTTTTAGGAAGCGGATTAGTTGTTCTGCTCTAAAAACCTGTCCTTAATTTAGGCATTAGGCCCATGTCTCACTAACAGAAACGGACAGGAAAGGATGGCAACATTTGCTGTAGAAATTAACAGCAGTTGGGACTACCTAGCTACACATGAAGTTATGCATGAACTTCCATATGCTAATATAAGTCAGATTATCGTGTTGGCTTTATTTTTACGTAAATAAAAAGACCAGTAAGAATTCAGTGAATCGTGGGACTGCAGTTTGTTTGCAGTCAAATACAGTGCAAAACCCCAAGCTGCTATGAAACCACAGGCAACAGAAGTACTTTAAACCTCTGTCAAAAATGGCTGATTTTTAGCAGAGGCAAACGTAAACGTTTCATCGCGTTTCCTTCGCACAAGGAGCCCAAAGGATCGCTCCTCCCATTTACTAACAAAACACTACTTTTACTTCCATCCTAAAGCATTCGTGGGCACAAGGTTTCTTTTATTGCAGTGAAACACAAGGAGCGAGCACTTATTTGCAAACACTTTACGCTTCACCACAGGTGAAACGCGGGTGCTGCGCCCGGCCGGCCGCCGCCCGTCTCGCTGCCTCAGCCACGGCCGTTAACCGACAACCGGCGCTTCAGCAGCCGCCGCTGCGGGACGCATGGAACCGCCGCAACCGACGG